ACAGCAGCTGAAGGGGAGAGGTTGTGATTCGTATTTTGGGGTCTCAGCAGAGGTCATATCCAGCGGCGGAGCAACCCGGGTTGCTGACGGCGTATCAAATTTGGCTGCGCTGGGGGAGGTATATGCCGGAAGTTCTTCTTCGGGAGGAGCCTGGAAAGTAACTTATGTAAATGTGGGTTCCTTCCACCGCCAACGGAAATAGGATAGCAGCAGTTAGAACATACGATTCCATTGGGTTCGTCGGTTGAGGGTTGTTCTCCTGAATCCTTAGGAGGCAAAAATTCGACTTTTATTTTCTGTTCGTGAATAGAACTTTTTGATGTTTGCTCAACGTGCTGCCACTATGGTTATTGTCAGTGTATGCCTGTAGGAAATAGGGGATTACTCAAGGCCACGTACGATCGAGCTGACATTGGAGAAATCTTTGTCCGTGGATACTGCCACAGACTGGACCAAAAACTTGTCTTTAGATGCTCCCACTGACTTGTCATCCTTCATTGCCTGCAGAAGAACTATTGGCACCGTAAGTATTCACATAAAATATCACCATTGCAACGAATAGAATGCTGACTGACCTTGAACATCTATCCTCTCGCCTGCTCCGATCCGACCTGAGTTGGGCCGCACGCAATAGCTGAATAGCAAAAGGTCAGGACGCCGAATTCATTAGAAATCGAGAAGGAATTGGTTGGCGAACCTTTTGGGAGCTGTTGTTTTGACCTATATGAATGACGCTGTGAGTTGTAGCTCTAATGGAAGAGTTGTCCCAGCCAAGTGCTATCATACCTTGAATGCAACCGGCTCATCGTTGTTGTTTTCTATGGTAAGGGTTTGGCTGACTTCCCGATTAAATGGCCCTGTACATACATATGTCAACGGGACTTGTTACACGCATAAGACGGGCTGGAAGACACCAACGATGAAAACGAAGGAATTTCTGAGGTGGCTTCGCTGTGGGATCCTGATTGCCGCTGGGAGCCCTGCGATCGTCTTCGGTTATCAGGTTCACTGACATTGCGCCAGGCGTAAGAGTTCAAGGATGAGAGTTAACACTACTAAAACGGCCGGGGTTACGGAGACTTGAAAAGAGGTGATAGGATTTCGATATCGTCAACAGCCAGCGATGCGAAGCTTGAGCTGGAACACATCAACAATATGGGGCAGGGAGGACTGGGAATAAGGCGGGATTGGTCAGCAGTCACGTGAAGAGCCCCGGTTTTTGGGCTTTCTTGGCGGCGCAGATTGGCATTTCGTGCCAATGTGCCTCTATAAACTGCCAACCACGATTAGGTCTGTTGTACAGACTACTGTGAGGTAGACACTCACTCACTCTTTGGGAGTTACTGATTGCTGTCGCTACATTATTAGCTAAACAGGTTATTTTCCACAGCGGGTCGCAGGGACAACTGCTTACAACAATAGTAAGAACGCGTGTTGCATACTAACTACCGTTCCGCCTCCATCTCCATTGCACTCCTCGTCTCTCATGTACGAGGCAGCACTGCTGCTAACACCATGATACTCGCCCTGGCCCAGTCAACAATCTAACAAGTGGATAGGGATTCCGAACCACAATTTAGCGGAGGGGGCCTTTTCCATTCCCGCCTTCCTTCTTACTTCGGGAGAGCGCATGTGCCTAAATGGGATGCGATTTGTGATACTCATCTGACAGGAACTGTACGCCGTGACTAGGGAACAACAAGCTGGAGTTACAGGCGAAAAGGAGGAATTTTTCATCGTTCTCACGATCATCAGGGAAGGGAGACCACAGCAAAATCCAATACCGCTGCGGACCTTCTACTGCGTGGTTCCAAACTAACTACAGGATGACAGCAATTCAATTGGTAGTTGATACATTGCGTATGCTGTTTATATAAATACAATTTCGCATGGGTGTGGATCTGTTTCCCCAGAACCAAGACTGATAGCAAAACTTGGGCCTGGGATATCAGTCCTGGTAGCTGGCACTCCTTTGGAGATGTATCTCCTCCCAAGAGCGAACGCCCGCCGTTATTTTGCTGCTATTTCTCTGCCGTATCCGTGCGATTAGCCCAGGAACCATGATGCATGAAGCTGGGTATCAAAATTGTGTATGAGCTTGACAGTTTTCACTTGCTTGATAAATGTGAAAAAAAGCGACTCGATAATCCTTATATCGTTAATTAACTATCATTAACTATCTTTGGGCATTCTATCATCGTAATCGCCTTAATCCCATTTAATTTTACGAACGATAAATGATTTAGAAAATTCGAAGTATATCAATTCCCTTTTTAATGCTGTTTGCACAATCTGACCCAAAGGAGAGCTTTATCCTGTTGGATCCACGGCGCTAATAACTGTTTAGTGGGGACGGAGGTCCATTCCGCTTTCTCGGTGGTTCCGAAGAGTGAAGCTTGATGTCAATACAAGAACCAACTGAGCTGCCTGGAGTCTAAGCATGTAATTCATTCTACTTTCTCATTTCGTTATTGTACCACGCCATTATACTTACATTTGTCTTGAAGTCCTTGCAATCCAATCACATTTACCCCACCAAACATTCGTCCACTACCATGCCATCAGATCTAGAGCAACTCATCGAGATGGGCTTTGATGCGGAAAGGGCTCAGTTAGCAACCTCCAGAACAGGAGGCTGTAAGTGCTCAGGTTTCTTCCTACGCGAGCTCACTGTTTCTTCTCCAACTACCTCCCTCATTCTCAAGTCTAATATATTTCTCTATATTCTAGTGCAAGGAGCACTCGAATGGCTTGAGGCCAACCAAGACAAATCCCTCGACGAGATCAAAGCTTCCTCCACAACACAGCTCGGCACAGATCCAGATGAGCCACCAGCGTTAAAACCGGGGGAAGAAGCGAGAAGTCTTGTCTGTAACGAGTGTGGGAAGCGATTCCGCAGTCAGGCCCAAGCTGAATTTCACGCATCGAAAACTGAACATGTTGACTTCGCAGAATCGACGGAGGAAATTGCCCCGCTGACAGAGGAGGAGAAGAAGGCTAAACTTGAGGAGTTACGGCAGAAGTTAGCCGCAAAAAAGGCGCAAAGGTCGGAACAGGATAAAATTGATCAGAAACGGAATGAGGTAAGTCGGAGCAAGGTGGATGAAATCCGTGATATAGATTGGTCCCACTTCCTCAGCGACAGCTCGCGTTTGGGCCATTTTTTCTCTTTTTCGTTTGATATTGAATTGACGGGGAACTTTTTAGGAAATACGCAAAAAATCTACGAAGGAGGTACAAGATATCAAAGAAGCGCTCCAAAAGAAAGAACAACTGAAAGAAGCCGCAAAGAAACGGCGAGAAAAGCAGGAGGAAATAGAAGCCAAGGCACGGATACGAGCAAAGATCGAGGCTGATAAGGAAGAGAGACGGCTGCGCGCTGAGAGAGAGAAAGCGGAACGCCAGGGTCGTGCCCTTCCCCCTGCTGCCATGCCTACTACACCCCTTACTGCAACAACACCCGCGACGTCGAAGCCGGCTTCAGCATATACGGAATCTAGATTACGCCTGCAGACACCGACCGGCAATGTTATGAAAACTTTCCCCGTCGATACGACGCTGTTCGAGGTGGCGGCCGTACTAACCCAGGAGAACGGGATGGAGGTTCAGAGCTTTACGCTGAATTTCCCTCGGAAGGTGTTTGATGCGGAGTCGTTTGGGGAGACGCTGAAGGAGCTTGGGTTAGTTCCTAGTGCGAGCTTGATTGTGAAGTAGTTGTGCTGTTCCACTTTTGTGTTTTACGTCTATTTTTTACAACATTTTTTATTTTCGTGTTATCCTCCAATCCTATGTTCTTTTTTTTATTGAGTGATCGCTACAAGGTCCCCGATCAATGGATAGACTTGAAAGATTATGAAGCGCATGAAGCGCTCGTTTACATAATATATTGGCATTGTTCAATTCAACCAGAGGCTCCAATGTCGTTTTCTCATTCCTGCATGCTTCCAACCAACCAACCTTCCACCTTCATCATTCCTGATGTATTCTAGACGATTTGAATGCCAGAAAGATCCCTCAAAATCTGAAGCAATAAGGTGCTTCTCGCCGGTTGCCGCCAGTGCCATCACTACGCTACCTCAGGAAATCGCATTGCCCACTTTTCTGTTTGGCGTGTGCTTAACGATTCTCTGGGTCGCACTGGCTAATTAGAATGACCTACCACAATCTCTTTCGTTGGTATGGTGATATATCATACTGACAGACTGCTTTTAATGTGGTTATGCGGAGATAATGTCGCATGGATAAACGGATAAATTTTTTGCCGGGGTCCGACATATTTCTTGTGTCGACCGCCTCTCTTTGTGCTATTCCATTGCCCAGCATGCAACAAAATATCCATTGATTCGTCATTGTATGAGCGTTAAAAAATTTGATGCCCCAAGTGGGATAAGGACGGGATGGTTGACATTCTACGCCGCCACGACCTTCCCTGGCGCATGCGCATTTGGCTCATCTTCTACAGATACTGGTACCGCTTCCGCCGCCGTCTGGAAACACCCCTGAAACTGCGATACAGCCTAGGGCGACTCAGACATAATCACCCTCGATCTTGGCTGGCCCTTCTGCGCCTCTTCATCCCCTACCCAACATGGAAGTTTCCTGTTCCAGAACCTCTCTCTCCACAGGAGCTGGTGGGGAATGAACAACTGATGCTCCGCCGTCGCCATGATCTCAGAAATTTGACGGCCATCCCTCTCTGGCGGTTTCGTGACACTCCACTGCAGTCTCTTTATCGCCTCTATGAGTCCATGTTGTCGGGCGAGTACAGCCCAATGGGGGAGGAGACAGAATATTTTTGGTATCAACCCCGGTGGGCACTAGATGGTATTCCCGATCCAGCAGACCCAGACCCCGTCCGGTATGCCATTATTGCGTGTCTTGTTGAAGAGCTGGTTACGGCATTCAACTGGCGCCTAGGTCTGGGCATGCGACGTAATCGCAAACATATCCTTCGCGAACGAAACGAAGACCCATATCCTCCGTATGAGCCTGTGAAAGGGCCTGCATGGACAAGAGATGTCCCACCAATTCCACGTGAGAGCCTTGCGTGTCTGCCACCAGAGTTTGTACGAAATGAGTTCCAACTTGTCCTGGAAGAGAAGGGCATCAGTGAGCTGTTCGCGGAAAGGAACATAGTCACAAATGTTGGGTGGTTATACACGATATAGAAGAGACTCAAAACCTACATCTCTGGTCTTGCTCACAGTTTATTGTCACATGACCTGCTAAAATGTAGGCCTGTTACCCCCCCGGTTTTATTCCCATCAATCTTCCTTCGTTCTCACACCCTTTTATACCCTCCATGTTACACCCTTGGTTTCCAGATTCAATGCATTTATCCTCAATACATCTTCAATCGATACGAAACAATTAATCTGAATTCTTATTGATGTCTTTCCTTCGTCTGTACTAACAATCAAACCTCCACACAAAAGGTATGTGGAGATATGATGGTAAAAGCTGGATGATGTGTTGAAATCTCTCGTTCAAAGATTATATAGATTAGAAATATATCTCCATCTATCTGTTTGGCTGCTTGCCCAAAGACCTGGGAAGATTGAAGTCTTGAGGGTTACTTACTGCCTGTGGCTGTTTAGCTGCCTACTATCCATGTGTATACACAGAAATTGAAGACCGGATATTATCCGCTACCTGTCTGCTCGCCATCAGTGCATACACCAGGCAAGAACACCCTGGTTGTACCCCCGTCTGCCCTGCGAGAAGCCTCCAAACCCCGCGGAGCTGCCCTGGATCTCGCCGACACATCTCTCGAGCCTCGGCATATCAGCATGGTCCATCTGAGATGTCAGAGCCAAAGCAATACCTCGAGAAGGGGGACTTTGACAATGGTAAATTCCCCCTTCCTTCCTCACCTCTGACTCTCATCTGAACTAGGACACCCGGGGATTGAAATCCAGTGATTCATGTCCATATCTCGGAGAGGACTCCGTGCTCTCTATGCAGAACTGGCAAAGCATGATATGATCGTCGCCTTTTCTCCCATAACCGTGATCACAGCTGGCGGGTTTGTTGCTGTTACCTACCTTCAGAATAGAAACGCCACCGGTGACCTCGACTACCTTCTTGCTCCTGAATGGGCAGCAGATCCAGATATCAAAAATTCACTGCGCGACGCGATAATCAAGGTATCAAATGACCTTGGTTTCAATTACGAATGGGCAAACGATGATATGGCGATATTTGTCACACATGAAGCACAGAAATGACCGTTTGAACAGGCAGAGAAGCAAGACATTGTCCTTTTCTTGGGGCGGCATATTCGTGTCCTGGCCGCACCAATCGAGTGGGCAGTGGAACGCAAGATAAGGAGGTTGTTTGAGGGAACCCGTGACCGTAAGGCAGTGTTTGACCTCAGCGATTGCCTGGCAATGCTGAAGTGGTTAAGGGACCGAAACGATGGTCCTCTGGATCGCGAGCGCATCCGTGGCTTGGATGTCAACTGTTTTGGTGTCGGTCCTGATAAAGCAACTATGGACACAATTGCCACCGCCTATTGCGAGAAGTATGGGGAGAGGATATTCTTCTGATGCGATAATTTCAAGACGGAATATATGACATCACATTCAATCATTTCTATATTATTCCGTTACCAGAACCGAAGTAGTTCCGTATCTACCTGCCTTAAGCTGTGTTTTCATATGGTATATATACGTGCGCAATTGAAGGATCAATTGTGTTGTCGACCAGTCACTGTCCCTTTCCAACCTGAGAGGAAAATGGCTAATTATTGTTTGAACTTCAAGGATCACAAATATATATTAAATCGACGAAAATCCGCTTGTTACTTTTTATATATATCTATGCTTCTCTTCACTTTTCCGGTAGCCTTTAATGTGGATAGGCCTAAATATCCTCCTAACGGGTTTCGAATAGATGTAAGAAGGTTGTTGATGCTTCAAGATAGGGAATTGGCCATCGGGGTGTCGTCGAAACTTGGTGACTGGTTTGCGCCTAATGAAAAATAGGGAATAAGGAGTGAGCCACAAAAAAAAAAAAAAAAAAAAAGTCAGAAACGAATATCTACAACGTGTGTGTGAATTTTATCGGAAAAAGGGAGGATCTCATGCACTTTCACTTATTCAATTGAAAGCAAAATGGGAATGGGGTGAAGAGCCAGAGGTATTGCCAGTGGATAAAAGGAACAAAGAATACCAACAAATGTTTCAAGCAAACTTACTCTCCAATATCTGCTGTTGTAGAAAGGGGTCATCATCATAGACAGGGAGGACCATGGCGCGCGCGACAACATGACCCTTCGCAGTATCAAATCCACGGTCATTGCCCCATTTATAGAGAGCGGGGAAGAAGCAATAGCCGACCACCAGTTTCCGACCGCAGCTTTCGTTATCTAGTCTACGAAGTTCGTCGTCCTCGCACTCGCCCTCCGTGACATCGACAATGCTCATGGTTGAAACGTTGAACTGCGTTCCAGGATCATGGAACTTGAGCTCGTAGGACGCGAGGGACATGCAGGTCTTCAGGCGGAGGTTTGCTTGGAGCTTCAATAGCTTTTGCAAGCTGCGACGGCCTTTGTCTCCTGGAGGAATGTGTGGTTCCAGTTTGGCCCAAACCTCATCGACTAGTTCGGAGAGTTCGGATTCTGCACTGGTTTTGGATCCGGAGGAATTTGCTAGCTCGCTGACTTCGGGGAGGTATTGGAGAAGCTTAACGAAGCTCGATCTCCAGATGTTGATATCCCGTTGTGGTACCCCTGAGGTGCATCATCATCGTGGTTAGTGTTAATTGCTCTCCTCAGTTTTGCTTATGATAACTGTCGCCAAAGGCGCCTCACCTATCGATGGTAAATGAAGGACTTCCTCTAATATCTGCAAGAACGTCAATGAGCTCCGAGGGTCAAGCTCCATGTCAAATTCTCTTGTGAGTTTTAAAATTCCAGATGCCGCCCCCACAACGTATCTCTTGCCAACTGCGTCAGAGGTTTCTTTGAACAGCGCACTAGCAAGCAAGCTATGGTAGTATTTTCTTCCAAACTGCTGTAGTAACCGGATGCATTCCGGGCTGAGCAGTTTTCCCAAACGCCCAGCATCATCGCCCGTAGGCTTGCCAAATACCTTGGAGTGAGATTCTACAGCACATCCAATGGCACTTTGGAAGAGTCTTCGCAGGACTTCGTCCGTCACCCCTTCTGCCACCGTTCCCAGGTCCAGAATTTGCTGTCCAAGCGCTTTCTTCTCGTCCTGGGCCTCCCAGAGGTCCTTCTTGCAGTCTTCCAGTTCTTTATGGAGCGACCCAGCAACTCTTTTATAGTACTCAGCTTCTCGGAATGCATGTTGTGCTGCACGACGCTGGTACACAAGCTCCTGATACATATCCTCTAAATCTGGCTCTTGGGGAGCGGCTCTCTTAACTCTTTCGGCATACGACCCTCCATGCCCCGCCTGCGCAATCCCGCGGTGCACCTGGTGGGAGAGCTCAATCTCGGGAGAATCGTCGAACCCACCTCTATGGGCATATCTAGGAGGTTCCTTTTCCACCTGTGACCTTGGAGTAAAAGTGTTGTCTTTCGCCGCAGAAGACTTGTGGGGAGGCACTGGTGGTCGAGTGGCACTCGGTTCTTGAACATGAACATTACGAACAGGGCTCTGGTTTCGCACATCCGGGCGTATACCCGTAGTACTTCTTGAGCGAGGCCGGGCCTTTTCAAGACGACGGGGAGCTACGGTGGTCGATTGTGAATCCGCATTTGCTTCCGCATTTCCAATTTTGTGTTGGATGCTAACAAATCGGTTAGGTTGAACGAGGCCAGCGTTCACAACGGGAGAGGATTATTGACCTTTCTTCGTTTGGGATATTCTCAATCTCAGCCAGAGCTTCGTGTAACTTGTCGACTTCGATCATCTCATCCAATTGATCCAGCTTCCCCGCTTTTGGCACCATTGTGGCATCTGCTTTTGAGCTCATCATCGCTGTCAAACGTATTATTATTATCAATCCTTCTCGTAGAAAATTTTCAATAAAATTACTCCCACGGGTACAAATAAACTGGACCCTCCCATCTTGAAACGGGAGCATATATTTCGCTGCCGCTGGCTCTAGCCGCTCGACGAGGCACGAGGCTGACAGACGTGGCAGGTCACCAGCTGCACTAAAAATGAGTAAATCCCCAAGGCGCCAAAAGCACGAACTGGCATGCACTGCCGTCCACAAACAGCACGATCTCGAGCATGGATCCTGGCTGCCGAAGGGTCTACACCCAATGGAGCGTGATGAATACGAACATGCGCTGGTCCCAACAAGGCTGTGAACTATTCCCGTCTGAGGCGGGCCATTGGACATCCGGAGATCAGGACCAGGAAGCCAGAGCCTCACAGGTGTTTCACCCACTTAGTTTATGAGGGGTTTAGGCGTCTTGCGAGCCTTGAGCCGTTCATATAAATTCGGCCTTGCTGCTAATGTGCCTGAGAAAACCTGTCCTTTCAAAGCCCGTGGGGCATCGATCATTTCAATCTTTGTGATAGACTATAGGCGATTGTTTTGAACATCTTTTTTTTTTTTTTTATGGGCAACGAACCAAAAATTTCCCGACAAAATGCTTACCAGTATCATGATAGCCGTCGACTTCGGGACGACGTATTCTGGCCTGGCATTCAGTGATCCGTCCCAGGTATGTCGTGAACACCCCAACTTCAGCGTGGAAAACACCTAGTTCTCAGGCGTCTAACGACATAACTATGTCATGGTCAACTAGCGAACCGACGCTGCTATCCCGATCACTGACTGGGGTCGAGGAGTAAGTAGCCAAAAAGTTCCATCGTAAGCAGAAATGAAAACCCTCAACCTCACCGTAGACTGAATTTCCAGCATAACTAACTAATTATTCCACATAACACAGTGAAATCCGTTTCGACGGCCCAGGAAATGAGCAGTTCAAATGGGGTTTCCAGATCAAGCATGGCCAGGAAAGACATATCTGGTTTAAACTGGACTTAGATCCGGACAATTCCCGAGTTGGCAAATTGACCCAGCTCTCAAGGACATTAAAGGATCTCTTCGTGTCACCACCTGAATATCAGCGGACTACAGAGGACATCGTGGCCGCATACCTGACAGGTCTACGCAGACATGCTGTCGCTCATTTAGAGAAACTTTACGGTTCTGCCGTTATGAAAGACTGCCAGCTCGACTGGATAATCACTGTGCCTGCCGTCTGGTCTGATCTGGCCAAAAAGAAGACGCGAACTGCGGCGATGAGAGCCGGCATGGGCGACACCACATCTCTTCAGATGACATCGGAGCCTGAAGCGGCCGCTGTCTACGCACTTAAAGCGCTGGACCCGCACCATATCAAGGTTGGAGAGAGCGTGGTGATTTGTGATGCCGGTGGAGGCACTGTGGATTTGATCACGTACAAGATGAAATCTGTGGATTATCCGTATGAGGTGGAGGAGACTGCTATCGGCGGGGGCAGCCAGTGTGGGAGTACCTTTTTGAATCGAAAGTTCGAGGAAGTTTTAATGAGGAAGCTCAACAACAAGCCTATCTCCAAAAATGCAAAGGCGATGGTGAGATCTGGTTTTCTCTCTCTTCATGCCTCCTTAACTCGCACGTAGTTCACTGACCCTTATGCGTCTCAGGCAATGAGCCATTTTGAAAAGGAGGTAAGTGTTCTCGAGAATCCCAATTCACAACTGTAGCGATCATCATCTAACAAATGCACACAGACAAAACGTAATTTTGGAACTGAGGATGACGACGAAGATGAAGAAGATATTGAGTTCCAGATTCCCAGTAAGTTGGCCGCCTTACCGAGCGTGCTCTTTCTGCCCCGTGGTAATTTCCCTTCCATCGAACGTCATAATCCAATGCATTCAGTTCCTGGAGT